TACTTTTGTTGTAGTATCAAAGGAATGATTTCATAGATTGTGATATAATTTGGCATTGTATTGTTTTGGAAAGAGATATAAAATGTTTTGGCACGAGCATTGCATATGCATTCACATTATAACTTTGTTAAGACTCATATACTGTGTTAGAGTATTTCTACTAGATTTTGGCTCATCCTATGTAGAAAACTATTTTCAAATACTGATAATATGCCTCCGCTAAGAACATAGCTTGGGAGGAATTTGGAGCTAAAGGCTTCTTTTGTGATTTATTGTATTTATTTTTGTATAAGCCTAGGACTTTATTTGTATTAAGTTTAAACTCATTTTTGTTATAACCAAGTATCGTTTTGGAAAGTTGTAGCCATCAGGGCATTAATTTATATGTTTTGACTTTTATTTCATATCTTTAACTTGTGGAACATATTATAGATTCAGGGTTAGGATTTGTGAATGTATAACTGCATGTGTCACCTCTTGTACAGTGGAATCATATGAAATGGAAGAGTATTATGTTCATAATACATTGTCATTTATTTAATGTTGTGGATGGTTTATTTTATTTTATTTATTTATTTTGGATCGACAAAGAAAATCTTTATTGATGGCAGCACACAAGGTATGATACAATACATCAATAAAGAGGAGTTTAGAGCTAACACAAAGCTTCAAGTGCTAGTTGGTGAGGAACCAACAAACCAGAGAGCAAAAGATGCAGCCTCAACAACAAGCTAAGAAGAAAAGAAAAAACACAAAAAAAAAAAAAAAAAAAAAACAGAGATTAGCAGCAGAGACTGATAGAGCAACACCAAACTTCATCCCAAAAAAAACAGCAGCACAGTAGCAGATCACCACAAGGCACACACAAAGCTCACACAGCAACATTTCACCACAAAACTCACACAACAACAATTTACACAGCATCAGTTCAACACAAAGATGCAGAACTTCACCCAAGGCTAACATAGTCCAACCATCACTATATATCTACAACAGACCCTCCCAAGCAACTCACACAGCATCAGTTCAACACAAAGATGCAAAACTTTACCCAAAGCTGACACAGTCCAACCATCACTACCTATCTACAACAGACCCTCCCAAGCACTTCCTAATTTGCCTCAAATTAAAAATGAAATCCTGCTTTGAAAATTGAATATCTCTAAGGTGTGGTTTTAACCAAAAAGCAATCCTATACTTGATTAAGTCACAAAGATCCTCTAGGTTTGGAAGGCTTGCTCTAAACACACAACCATTCCTACACTTCCAGATTGACCTCATCACTGCCAATGGAATGACCCCCCAAATCTTCCTTTCTTTCTTTTTCAGCTTCCCCCTCTACCGACCACATAAGAAGACTCTCCACAAAGCCTGGTATAGCAGTTTGGACATCCCACCACTTCAGCATTTCAGCCCAAATCTTCCACACAAAAGGACACCAAATTAATACACGGTTCACTGATTCACTACCACTATCGCAGAACACACAAGCTGTGGAGGCATTTTGATTGATCACTCCCAGTTTTTGTAAAAATTCCTTGGTCTTAGCTCTCCTTTTCCAAGCAAACCAACCAAAAATCTGCACCTTATGAGGGATATACTTGAGCCATATCAGTTTAGTAATACTCAAGGTGGCACCTGCATTGTCCATAACAAACTTATATACATCTGCTATATTTAGGACCCCAGAAGGTGAGGCTAACCATACAGGCCGATGAGGTTGTGGATGGTTTATTATTATTTAGTTTGGGGCGTTACAAATTAGACAATCCGTAGACTGCATGTGTGTTGGCTCAGTCTTTATTTATTTTTTTTCACGCCAAGAGAAAGACAACCCATAAGAGAAGATTGTGCCAACACACATGTAGTCTATAGGCTGTCTACTCACAATGTCACACAATCTTCAAAGGGCAAATTATATTTTACTCTCTTAAATTAGTCTTGTATCACTTTACTACCTTAAACTAGAAATTATAACACTTAACCCCCCTCGTCTATTAATTTTTTTAATTTTGACTTTAATGACAAAAGTAACCTTTTAACTATAGGAATAAATTACAAGTTACCCCCCTTGAACTATCACTCTAACCCTTCAACTAAAAAAAGTTTGATTTTTAATTTAAAATACAATTTTTAAGTTTTTTTCAATAATTTTTCGTATTTGTTATTTTTAGTAAAAAAATTCATATTTTACTCAAAATTTTAAATTTTTAGATGCACCAAAAATTTAAATATTCTTCACTTTTAAAAAATCACTAAAAACAAAAAACAAATAAATAAATAAAGACATAAAACAAAAAAAAAAACAAAAAACTGATATATTTTTATATTTCCTGTCTTTAGTAAACATCTTTAAAAAAAAATTCATAAATATTTTTGTTGTTTTGTTTTCAAAATTAAAAAATTAAAAAAAAAATTCTTCTAGCTGGCTAAAAATTAATTTAGTAATAAAATAAAATAAAAATTAGAAAGTGTTGGTGGGAGAGTGAGTTCAAACTACTTATGGTAGCTTAAAATAAAATTCAGAGAGATAAATTTGGAGACAAACAAACATACTTCACTAAGAAAAATTATTGAACAATGAGAAACACTCTCTCTGTAACGCTCCAAATTTCTAGTCCAAATGATAATACAATAATCATGGCTCTTTCAAGAAAAACCGAATATAAATCTCCAAACTTACATTACATGATATGATAGTTTTTCATGCAACAATACATTAATCCAACAACAAGTAAATAAACAAATAATAACCCCCAAGGGTTTACAAGCTTTCAAGGCTTAAGCCTGGTTACACAAAACGGTTATTCAAACTCACACACATACAGCCCTTGGCTTACACACAAAGTCACAGCAAAATGAGAGTCTCGTATTCTCAACACACATTTCCTCGCCTTTAGTTAGGCGGCATCACCACATCTTTTCCTACACAAAAATCCCGTAGGGTGAGCATAAAGCCTAGTAGGAAATTATTAACAAGATATATACATTTTATACAAGTCTCAAGAGATGAAATGCACATGCCATGCTATGCCTTTTTGAAAAAAAATAACATCTTCATCTTTAAAAACCATCATGCTTGATGATATCATGTAATTTCAATTCTTCAAAAGTTAACAATTCATTTCAAGAGTGGTAAATACGACTCTGGTAATCCCTAGGTCGGTGTCTGCAAGTAGACTATACAAGTACTATCAAATTGTCATTTTTACCGGTATTAATTGGAAGGTTCGACACCTATCCGCGCGGGTTTTCGGTCTTTCACCCCCGACTCTCAGGCCAACTTATTCGATATCATCTACACCACCTATCAAGACTTACCAACGTATTTACCCCAAAACCATTTCATAAAAACTTGTTTCTCAAAATTCTTTTCTCAATGCAAGTTTTCAAACCAACTTTCAAAGTTTAATATAATCAAATGAATTGATATGCCAATAACACAAGATGAATATAAATACTTTCATTCCAATTCATCATCCAAGGAATAACACAATTCCCTCTTTTCAAGTATCCTCAACAATTAATCATTTCAAGACTATTTCAACGTTTTAAACAACAATTTCCAAAATGAACAACAATTCTCATATTATCTGAAATTCATCATTTATATAAATATAAATAAGAATTTTTCCAAACATCCATTTATTTTGATACACAAAATAAATATAACAATATCATTCATGGATTTTCAATCTCTTTAAAAAAAAAAAAAAAAATCTCCAAATTCTAGGTTTTCTCACCAAAACTATACGACTCAAATCTTTTAAAAGAAAATTTTCTAAAATCATCTTTTCTTCAATCAACAAAGATAAAAACCCATAAGATCATTTTAAAAGAACAAGAGACAAACCCACTTTCAAAATCACTCAACTTCTTGAATCAACAATCAATTTTCAAAGCTATCGAAAGATGATTTTGAAAATCATATAGATCTTACAAATATATATATATATATATAACTCTAAGAAAATTCATACCTCAAGTTTTGAAGAAGAAATGAGATGAAACCCTCAAAATCAACGGTGTCGAAACTCGATCTTCGCCACACACAACGAAGCCCTCGAGAAGTTAACCAACTTTGATGAAAAACCTATGGCAAAACTATAATGGATCTTGAGAAATCAAGGTTTTGATCTAATTTGATATAGGAAAATGTAGAAAGAAAGGAGAGGAAAAGGTTTTTAGAGAGAGAGAGAACTGAAAAAGTGATCTGAAATCTCCCCTTACGGACTGATATAACATGGTCTGCTTGAGCGTAGAAAGCCCCGCTCGAGCGTCGAATACACTTTCCAGTATTTTTGCAGACAGGTCAAACTTTTGGAGCCTGTTTGGCTCCGCTCGAGCACATAAGCGGCCGCTCGAGCGGACAAACAACTTCGAATGCATTTTGCATTTTTGCTTCGGCGAGCTGATCGGGCAGCTCGACCCCCGTAAGCTGACTGGGTCAAAATCGGGATCGCTATCTGACTCTCTAGCTCTTACACTCTTTTCTTCTCCTTTCTATACTCTGAAATCTCAAAATACAATAGCTTTATATAGATAAAAGTATTAAATGCATATTCAACAATACAATCTTATTTTGACTTTCATGCTATGGCAATCTTTGAACACCGATTTGCTAGGGCGGCTGTCAAGCTAGTGGCTGTCAAGCTGGTGGCTAGGGTGGTTGTCTAGGGTGGCTGTCAAGCTTACTTTCCAACATCCCCCCTTAAGCTTGATTCTCCAAGTTGTTTCATGCCTAACATTATCTTCAATTTTGTGAACACATCACCCTTCAATGGCTTTGTGAAAATATCGGCAACTTGGTCTTGAGATTTGCAAGGAATCAACTCCACCTCTTTCTTTTTCACATGCTCTTGAATAAAATGATAGTGTGTATCAATATGCTTGCTTTGTTCATGATAAACTGGATTTTTCGCCAATGCAATTGCTGAGCGATTATCAACAAAAAAGTTGGCGGGCTTTTCTTGTGGAAATCCCAAATGCTTTAGCATGTTCTATAACCATATTGCATGGTATACAGCTGAGTTGGCTGCAACATACTCAGCTTCACAAGTTGATAACGTCACAATGGCTTGCTTCTTAGACGACCATGTAAAGGTTCTATCTTCCATAAAGAAAGTAAATCTCATAGTACTTTTTCGTTCATCCAAGTCACGTCCCCAGTCGCTATCTAAGTAGCCAACAAGACTGAAATCATCAATCAATTTATAGAACAAGCCATCATTTATTGTACCTTTGATGTACCGGAGGATCCTCTTTGCTGCATAAAGGTGTGACTGATCCGGTGTTTTCATATATCTGCTAATCAGTACTACTCCATAGAGTATGTCTGGCCTGGTGCAAGTAAGATAGCGAAGACTTCCAACTAAGCTCTTAAAATAAGTTGGATCCACATCACCTGCCTTTGTACCTATTTTAGCTCAACTCCACTATCTACAGGAGTGTTTACTGGATTGCAATTCTTCATTCCATATCTCTTGAGAATTTCCTTGGCATAGTCACTTTGGGAAATAAAAATTTCATCTTTTCTTTGTATCACTTCAATTCCAAGAAAGTGTGCCATCATACCGATATTTGTCATTTCAAATTCACGAACCATGCTTTTCTTGAATTTCTTGAACGTAGCTGGATTGTTGTGAATATCGAATCATTAACATAAAGGCAAGCAAGCAACATGCTTCCATTAGCTTCCTTCTTCAAATATAATGTGTGCTCATATAGGCATTTTTCAAAACTATTGTCATGAAAATACTGATCAATTCTAGTATTCCATGCACGCGAAGTTTGCTTTAATTCATAAAGTGTTTTCTTCAATTTGTACACTTTGTCTTCATTCCCATTCTGAACATACCTCGAAGGTTGTTCAATATAGATTTCTTCTTCAAGAAAACCATTAAGAAATGCATATTTCACATCAAGTTGATAGATCTGTCATTTGTGCTGGGCAGCCAAAGAAATCATTAGCTTGATAGTCTCCAAACGGGCAACTGGAGCAAACACCTCTCCATAATCAATTCCATCTCTCCACTTGTAACCTTTTGCCACTAATCTTGCCTTGTAGCATTGCACTACGCCTTGTGCATTCCTCTTTATCTTGTATATCCATTTCACTCCAATGGGTTTGTGTCCCTCCGGTAGACTGGTAAGCTTCCATGTATCATTTTTCTCAATGGCATGAATTTCTTCTTCCATTGCTTTCTTCCATTTATCTTCTTGGATGGCTTCTGAGAAAGTAAATGGATCACTATCTGCGAGTAAGCAGAGCAAATTCAGATCTTCTTCTTCTGTAGCTTCATATATCTCTTGCAAATTTCTCATTGGTCTTGGTTGTTTGAAAAAACTATCATCTGATGATGATGATGACGACGATGATGCATCACTTCTGTGAGAAACTAGCGATCTAGGTATAGGTATTCTATGTGGAAGAGTTTGTGGTTCATCTTGAACTCTTCTTGTGATTTCAACTAGAGCTTTTGATGTTTCATCTTCAATAATGAGTTCTGCATCTTTAGCAACTTCATCTTGATTCCAGTTCCAAGCTTCTTCCTTTTCAAATATTACATCTCTACTCATGATCACCTTTCTGGTAATGGGATTATACAACGTGTATCCCATTGTTCTATCTCTATATCCGACATGAATACATTTTTCTCCCTTATCATCCAGTTTAGTTCTTCTTGCTTCTGGAATCTTGGTGTACGCAATACACCCAAATATTCTGAGATGGTTGACACTTGGCTTATGTGAACTCCAAGCTTCTTCTGGAGTCATAGAGTGAAGGCTCCTAGTTGAGCATCTATTTAGTAGATACACAACACATGATACGACTTCAGCCCAAAATTGTTTGGGCAATCCTTTTCCTTTCAACATGCTCCTTGCCATATCTAAGATTGTGTGATTCTTCCTTTCAGCAACACTATTCAGCTGTGGCGTATAGGGTGGTGTTGTTTCATACTTGATTCCATGCTCTTTGCAATAATTCTCGAAAGCATCTGATATATACTGTCCACCTTAATCTGACCACAATGTCTTGATGTAGTAGCCGCTTTGTTTTTCTACAAGAACGTTGAATTCTTTGAAGCTACTGAACACCTCCGATTTTTTTTTTTTAAAGAAAATACACCCATGTCTTCCGACTATAATCATCAATGAAGGTGAGAAAATATCTATTATGTCCATTTGACATTGCTTCAATGGACCACACACATCAAGGTGCACTAGCTCCAGTGGCTTTGTTGCTCTCCACTTCACTTCTCTGGCAAAGCTAGTTCTGTGATGCTTTCCAGGAATGCAGCTTTCACAGACTTCATTACTACGAGCAATATATGAGGGAGCCCTTTCACCATATTCTTGCTTGACAATAGCTTCAAGCTTCCAAAGTTGAGATGTTCAAACCTCAAATACCATAGCTAATCTTTGTCGTTGATAATGGCACTTAAACACTTCGCAGCATCATGTTGGATGCTCAATGCAAACATCCTATTCTTGGACATTCTCACCCGAGCGATCAAATTACCATGATTGTCTTTGATGGTAAGATGACAATCTTTCATGCTGATATCGTATCCTTTCTCTAGGAGTTGTCCCATACTCAAAATGTTGTTCTTCAAGGCAGGAACATAATAAACATTGAAGATGTAATCATGATCTCTATTATTGAGCTTGATCAGAATATTGCATCTTCCTTTCACTGGAGTCTTTGAAGAATCACCAAATGAGACTTGTGCTTATACAGTCTCATCAAGCTCGACAAACAACTCTCTTTTACCACACATGTGATTACTGGCTCCCGAATCTAGATACCAAACATTGTTTTGGTCTTTTGTATCTCCATGGTGGACAAACAAGACTGTAGGTCTGACTTTGTTTGTTTCCTGGTCAGCAAAATTTACTTGTTCTCCGACTTCTGTTGTTGCTCTACTTCAGCATTCATTGTTGTAATGCCCGAACTTGTGGCAATGATGGCACTGAACATTGCTTTTGTCAAATCCTGATCGGTTATTGTAACCACCTCCTTTTCCTCTTAAAGCAAAGAGTGGTTGATTTCTTCCTCCTCTGGCTGGACCTCTTCCTCATCTTCCTCGAAAACCAAAACTTTGGTTATTGTAACCACGGCCTCTTTCTCGGTTTCTTTGTGATGTCCCCCCTTGCTCGTTTCTGTCATCTCTAAAAGACAGCTTTGATTGAAGAGCTTACTCTAGAGAACTTGAGGGATTATTTATGAATCTCAAGTGTGCCCATCAGCTCATCGGTGGTCATGGCACTGAAATCCTTGGACTCTTCTATTACTATAACCACGTGCTTTGGGACTGAGTGATCGAAGAATCTTCTCTATCACTTGAAGAGGTTTCATCTTCTCTCCATAACTTCTCATCTGATTAACAATGGTCAGTGTTCTGTTGAAGTACTCAGAAATTGACTCATTCTCATTCATGTGCAGCATCTCGAATTCGCTACGTAACACCTAGAGTCGAACTATGATTGTCTTCTCAATTCCACAATGTGAATTGCGAAGAATACTCCATGCCTCTTTGGAGGTTGCTGCTGCTGAAATCTTCTCAAAGCTTGACTCATCAATGCCTTGATAGAGCAGATACAAGGCCTTTTTATCTCTCTTCCTTGAATCTTTTAACGCCGTCTTCTGAGCTTCATTTAAATTTCCTTCATCTTGGAGAGTAGCTGGCTCATCGTATCCTCGATACACTAACTCCCACAAATCTTGTGTGGCTAGTAGAACTTGGATTTGAATACTTCAATTTTCATAGTTCTCCTTGATGAGTTTTGGAAATTGGGGTTGAAAGAAATTATTTGTATTGGCCATTAGTTGCCTTTAAAAAATTTGTAAATTTTCAGGATGAAATTTGCAAATTTTGACCATATAGATGTATCCAGAATACTCCAAATAGTTGGAAAACACTATTAGATCACCAAAAACAGATTTCAAGCGGTTTAGATCTAGCAAAAATAATTGAACGGCTCAGATCAGCCAAAATCTAGGACTTTTAAGAAGCACCGAATAATTTTCTAGACCAGATGACGTCAGCGTGATATCAGAGACGTGGCTCGGCTCGTCTACAGCTTGGTGGCTCAGCTCAGCTCGGCTTGGCTTGGCTCGGTTTCTAGCTCGGCTTAACGGCTTAGATAACGTCAGCAATGACTTCGTTAATGACGTCAGCTCCTAGATACAGATTCAGATCCAGGCTAATGGATTGGATAGTGCGTCAGATGGGTCGGACTCTGCAATCCGGGCGAAGAAGACGCGTGGAAGTGCGTGGACGCATTGCTGAGCGTGACGACAGCGTCAGAAGGCGCGCGGGGCGCGTGCGGGCTTTGTGGGGCTCAGTTTTCAACGTGATTTTTTGTAGTGTGATCATCTCGATAAGACCTATACACTAGTGTGATTAAAAATTTATTTCAACAACTTTGATTTCTGGGGCAAGATTTGAAACGATGCTTTGTTCTACTGTTTTTTTGAAAAAACAGGTCATCCTGGTGCTCTGATACCATTGTTGGTGGGAGAGGGAGTTCAAACTACTTATGGTAGCTTAAAATAAAATTCAAAGAGATAAATTTAGTGACAAACAAACAGACTTCACTAAGAAAAATTATTGAACAAGGAGAAGCACTCTCTCTGACTCTTACTATTGGTGGGTGTCACACCCTAAATCCGGGCATGACCGGCCGTGGCCCACAGGGCCTTAGCCCAAGGCACACGTAAGCCTAAACACGCATTCAATTTCACCTTGAACAATTAAACAATAATCCAATAATAAATAACCAAAACTCAATCTAGTGACATGCCACAAATGAAAAACAAGTCATAACCAACTTCCTAAAAATATATATATATTAAATGGGACATAAACCGCCCACAAAATAAAATAATTCTAAATAAAACTCAACCACAATGTATGCACAAAACTCGACAAAGCAACCTAAAACAAATTAAATAAATGCCCTAGAGGTCCATGCAATTGAGTCCCCGCTACGCCAAGAGTCCACTCTAAGTCCTTCTAACACCTGGAAATGGTAAACAACTAAGTCAGCTGATAGCTCAGTGAGTAGCAACATGGATAGTAAATACAGTTTTGAAAACAGGGTTCAATTCCAAAATAAGATATATATCACAGAAACTAGATTGGCATACAGTTTGGTAAATACAATCTGTTTCAAAAAGAAGGTTCCACAGTTCAACACTTAAAATACTCATGTCTCGCAAGAACATGATAAACAACATTTTCAACTTAAAACAGATTATAACATGAACACCAATAATTTTCTGGGTACCAATAAAAACAAATAATCTGCCACACAGTTCTCAAGGCTATAAGCCCCGTTGGATCCAATACCGAACTAAGAGTCATCCTTAGGGTGGCACCTGGGCCTTTTTTCAAAGACGATCGGATTGAAGGTCACCTAGTTGTTTTTAAAGGTCTTTTCCTTACAATCGTTGAGCACTAGAGTCATCACGGCCCAACCCGGATCTGTTTCCTATTGGCCAGAGTCACCACACACAATGGAATAATTTCTCTGGACTAAATACACACATGGTCCCAATAATCAATACACATAAATTTCGCAAAGCATGGTAGTTCATCATTATAAACATGAGACCAAAACAAATAGTTTACAGTATGCCAAGTTCACACATGTTTCAGAAATAATTTGATTCAATTGATAATATAATAATTTATCAAAACAGTTTAATCATGAAATAACAATTTAATTTTTCAACAGTTCAGGATAAGGGAACATTTATAAAAATATGTAGCATGAAACTACTCACCTGAAACGAAATAATATAATCCTCGAATAGAGTGTAAAAGTCCAACTAGTGGCCTGAACCAAGTATAAAAACTACACGTCACAACTAATTTAAAAATACTAAAAAAAT